ATTATATTTTGTATATTCTAGATTAATACGTTTTTATCAAATAAGGATAATAATAATTTTAAAACGTATGGAATATCTCAAAACCCAGATACAGGAAATTATGTTATAGTCCTTCAAGATAAATATTATAAAGAATATGGCAAAAGTTATTGCAAGCAGTGTACTGAAAAATATACAAATGTAGATAATAAATGGTGTAAACCATGCCAGATAAATTCTTTAAAAAATAATTTTACGTATTGGACTAGTAAAAATAGGAAAATTGATGATTTTATTCAAGAAATGCAATTAAAAATTAATAATTGGGATGATATAATATTTGAGTGGATACCATATGACCAGTTTAATGATATTAAAGAAATAGGTAAAAGTACTATTTATTCTGCAGTATATTCAGCAATATGGAATGATGGTCCATTATATTATGATAATAATAAAATGGAATTGAAAAGAGTATCAAAAAGAAATATCATCTTAAAATCTTTACATTATAATATATGTAATTTACAAAATACTATCAATAAATTTTTAAACAAGGTAAGAAGTCCTTTGTGATTTTAAATCGAAAATTTTTTTAATATTCTTTTCACATTTAAATAGGTTAATACATATACGGGTAATAGTAAAATATATGGAATATCTCAAAATCCAGATACAAACGATTATATAATAATTTTCCAGGAAACATATTGTGCAGAATATGGTATAAAATATTGTGAAAAATGTGATGAGAAATATACGGATACAAAGTATAAATGGTGTAAATCGTGTCAAATAAATAATTTCAAAAAAAATTTTATAGACTGGACCAATGGAAATAAACAAATTAACGATTTTATTCAAGAACTACAATTAAGAATTAATAATTGGAACGATACAGTATTTGAATGGATACCATATAGCAAGTTTAGTAATATTAAAGAAATAGGTAAAAGCGGTTATTCTTCAATATATTCAGCAATATGGAAGGACGGTCCATTATATTATGATCATAAGAATAGTAAGGAGTGGATAAGAAAATCAGATAAAAAAGTTGTATTAAAATGCTTAATGACCAGCGAATTTTTGAATGTGGTATGAAACTTAAACCTTTGATCTAAAAAATATATCTATTATTATATATTAATTTTTTTTATATTTAATAGGTTAAAGCATACTTGGCAGATAAGGATAGGATTATTCTTAAAGTATATGGAATATCTCAAAATCCAGATACAAAAGATTACGTTATAGTTTTACATAATAGTAAGATGATTGAAATTTATGAAAGATATGTGAAAAAATCTATTACAAATTGGTTTTATAATTTGCTAATCGACGAAAAAATCATAGATTTTATTCAACAAATGCAATTAAAAATTAATTATTATTATGATATAATATTTGAATGGATACCATACAATCAATTTGATGATATTGAAGAAATAGGCAAAGGTGGTTTTGCTACGGTATATTCAGCAATATGGGAAGATGGTCCATTATATTTTGATGATAATAAAAAGGAGTGGACAAGAGAAATGAACAAAAAGGTTGCTTTAAAATGCTTACGTAGTTCACGAAATATCAATGAGAGATTTCTAAACGAGGTATGAGATTACAGTATAAAACATTTTATAAGTTGTTCATTGATTTAAATGTAACAATTATTTTTTTTTTTTTAATAGGCTAAAGAATACTCAATCGATAGTCTTAATATTCTTAGAATATATGGAATATCTCAAAATCCGGATACTAAAAATTATATTATGATTCTTCAATATGCGGAGGGTGGTGATTTTAATAAATGGATAAATGGAAATTATGAGAATTTTGATTGGACGAATAAAATAAAAGTATTAAATAATATTATTAATGGTCTTAAAGAAATTCATCAAAAAAAGAAAGTTCATCATGATTTTCATACAGGTAACATATTATTTCTTTTTAGTAGCATTAGTGATATTAGTGATTATACACGTATTTCAGATATGGGATTATGTGGAGAAGTTGATAATATTGATGAAGAAAAAATTTATGGAGTTATGCCTTATGTAGCACCTGAAGTACTAAGAGGAAAACTTTATACTCAAGCAGCGGACATATATAGCTTTGGTATGGTTATGTATTTTATAGCAACCGAAAGACAACCTTTTGCTAATCGTGCGCATGATGAATTTTTGGCATTAGATATATGTGAAGGAGTTAGACCCGAAATAAATAAATTGAAAGCACCAAAATTTTATATAGAGTTAATGAATAAATGTTGGGATTTAAATCCAAATAAAAGACCAAATGCAACAGAAATAAGTGATCAAATAAGTCTTTGGAAAAATGATGATTTTGAACATGTAGAAAATTATCGAAAAGCAAATCTTTTTAAAAGGGACCAATTAATAAATCATCCGCAAGCTATTTATACATCTCGAATACTCAATCCTTATACAAAAAATCTATCAAAATATTATAATTCCAATTGTTCAGAATGTGCAATTGTTGATTAAAAATAAGCAGTATATTATTATATAGTTTTTGTTCAACACTGATTGTGAAGTAGATGTAAAAAATTTTTTTACATAAATAAAATCAGTTTGTAATTGAACAAATATAAATACATTATAATTGAAAATTTTAATAAATTTTTACATCATTAATTAAAGTATATTTGTTCGGATTGTTTTCATATATATTTAATTAACTGAAAAAGTATTGGTCAATTATTATCATTGATATATATACTGTATCATCAATTTCTTTAAATTTATGTCCTAAATAATTTTCAGCACAAAGCATTCGATATTTATTACATTTTAATGTTTACATCAAGTAAAGTTTAATTAGTGATCCCGTGCCCTATAAAATTTTTATCCGTTATTTCTGTAAAAACTCCCTAAAAATGAGCCTTTCACGGATCCATTCACGGAAAATGTAAATAATTTGATAAATTCCGTGATATAAGGCTATTAATTCCGGAAATATGAGCCTTTTACGGAAAAAAAAAGACGGAATAATAAAATTGGATCGACTTTTTTTACAGGGTGAGTCCAAGTGCAAAAGTGCAAATTTATGCAATTTTTTTCTGATACCCGTTAAATACATAATATTTATTCCAAATTTTCAAATAGTTTATTTTTTAAAATAATTTTTTCACATAATTTTTTACACGCCAAGATTCCATTTTCTGCAGATCTTTACAGCTGACTCGTGGATCACGAACTAAACTAATACTGAAAGCAAAATATATAAACTAGCTTGAAAAATATTAAAATATTAACAAATATTATTTTATGAAATAATTAATTATTTTATTATAGTGATTTTTTAATGGTACAATAATTTTCTATTTTAATATTTTAAATATATAAAATCATTTTTAATGATTTGTTAATTAAAATTTTGAACTTTTACTTATTTTTCAATATCGACGTAAATTTTTTTATATTTCAAATCACCGGGTGATCATCACCGGTGATCATGATAGTTAGAAAAATTCTTTTTATATTTATAAATTATTTTACTTTAATGCTATTTTCTTATCGATTTACTTATTCAAATTTACTAGTATAAAAATGAAAGTGATTAGTTTAAATAATGCTTACGTGAAGTATCTATCTGATACATCATTGTTTCGTCATTTTTATAATAAATCTAGTGTATATTGAATTGAATAACTAATTATATTATATTAAATCAGTATTAAATCGAACATTCTTTACGATACAGATGAGTCTCATTTAATTATAAAATTTCAATTATTTTTTTTAATTTCGAATTTATTTAATTATCAAAAATTTGAAACCTAATTTTTATACTGTATCCGGTTTCTCTTTATCGTAAATCCGAATCGAAGAAATTGGATTTATTTCCAAAGAATTGGAAATCAGGTTTCAAACTCTAAATATTATATAAATAAACTTAATTATTGTATATGTTCTAAGTAAGCACTGGACATTTTTTACGTATGTTATTGATCACTTTATAATAGTGATACACAAATTTTGGTCGCTTCATAATTAGTGATATACAAAATTTTGATCACTTTATTATAAAATAATAAATAAGATAAGATACACGAAAAAAGTCTCAGTTACTTACGTCATACATATCCAATAACTTTATTATCAGTCATGTTTATGATAACTGATTTACACTAGGATGCTACTCTATCATGTGGCCTTCGGCCATATGATATACATAGCAATCCTAGTGGTAAATCAGTTATCATCTACAACATGACCGATAACAATTACTTATTTAATGAAATAAAACTTTTAAGATTTGATAAATAATCACTTTTATTATTTATTGATTTAAATATTAGAAATTTTATAAATTAAGAAATTAAAATATCATTCATAATTTTTAACTTTACCAACAATATGATCGTTATAATAAGTTATGAAAAATAAATTCAATGTATATATTTAAAAGTATTTTTAAACGCGTACTTTCTTGTTTTAAATAAATAATATTTAGCTTTCTTAATTTCTTAGCTTCGCTACTAAAAATTTAAAAAAAAAAATTATAAAAATCCAATCAGCTATCTATTAAATTTCAGAGCATCCATTTTTAGTTAAAATTATTTTCTTTTTTGTCATGGCGTTTTATTTGAAATTTGTCAATTTAACATTATTTTTATGTAATTAGTTTGAAATATATATATATATATTTTTAATAATTTACAATATTCACAATATAATATAACTAAACGTCAATCTTTACAATTTTCATAAGTTCTAAGGATAACTTTACAATAAACAAAATTTCAATTAATATCTTTACTGCGTATGATTTTTTCATTCTTGTAAGAGGTTCGTCAAGCAAGAATAATTTTCCTTTAAATTTATGTCGTTCTCTATATTATTTTAAATGTTGACCTTTAATAATACATATACACTATGAAGTCCAACAATACGTGATTTATTCATCATAATTTAATGATTTTATTTATTAACTCATATATTTATTTATAAAATAAAGTGAATTATTCAAATTACAAACTAAGAAACTTGCAAATATTTGCTACTCTAAACCTTAGTGCTTAAATAATTCTAAATAATAATTATAATTAAATTTAATTTAATAGATAGTTAAGATCCATTTTACCTAAAAATTGGTTATTATAAGTTAATATTAATCATACGCAAGAAAGATATTCTAAAATCTTACTTACAATCAGTAACTTTTAATTCATCTCGTTTTTCTGATGAATGAAAATTTGGATTATATGTTTCATCTTCATCTAATTTTAGAATTAAAATAAAAATTATATTATATATAATTCTAAAATAATTACTTACAACGACGAAATAAAAATTTTTGATATCTAAGAATAATTACCCTTATCATTATTTTCCAACTTTACTTTCTTAGGGTTAGGGTTAACAGTTAAATTATTTTGTCCTTCTACTTTAAAGTAATAGAAAGTTAATTATTTTTTTTACTAACTGTTGATAAATAAAATGACTCATTACCATTAAAGTAAATTCTTTTATTAGATTCGTCTTCTACTATTTTTTAGGAAAATTAAAATATCGTTAAAATCATACCAACTAATAATTTCAATATTAATTAAACTTACCTGTAATCATACCATCTTGTAAATCAAAGTCAAATTGTATACTATGGTAAGCTATAAAACAACGTTATATATACTATATTTTCCCACATACAAATTGTTTAAACAAATATTGATGATTACCTTCTTGTTCTTCTATTAAATAAAATTATAGATAAACGGTTATTATGATGTTAATTAATCTTGATAAATAAAAATCTTTTTACCTTTTGTTGCATTCCTTGGTTCAGGCAAATTTTTAAAATAATAAACTCTGCTACTAGAATTTCTAAAAAAGGTGTTAATAGAGTTAGTAGAACTTATACTAAAATTTGTGTTTAATTGAAAGTTATCTATGTTTGTAATGTTATTTGTCTGTTGTTCATCATTTTCATTATTGAGATATTTTCTATATAAAGAACTTATTTCCTTATCAAGAGTATAGATATCAGGTCTTTTTGTTGGGTCAGCATCCCAACATTGTTCCATTAGTTCTTTATATTTTAAAGGAGTTCCCGGTATTATTCTTGGCCTCATTCCATTTATTATTTTTAATGCAAGATCATAATTATGTTTATAAACAAAAGGTGGTTGTCCGGATGAGATTTCCCACATAAGCATACCAATACTATAAATATCAGATGCAAAAGTAGTCCTTTTTCCACAAATAACTTCGGGTGCAATATAAGGAAGATTTCCATATATACTATTTAATGGTTTATCAGCTGGTCCACAAAATCCAAAATCACTAATTTTGAATAATTGAACTATTTGATTAAATAATATGTTTCCAGAATGTAAATCTCTATGGATTACGTTATTTTGATGGATTTGACGAAGTGCACCAATAATAGCATTAATTATTTGAATTCTTTCTTTCCATTTAAGTTTATTATGATTTTGTTGTAAATATTCTCTTAAATTTATATCATAACGACTCATTACAAGCATATAATTTCCATTTGATGGATTTTTTGTTAAACCATAGCATTCAGCAACTTGACTATATTTGTTACTTATAGATAAATGAGATTTACTCTATAAAAATTAATGCATATTAATATAAAAGAATTTTGAATCACCATTTTCAAATACATTTAAATTACATACCTCTTCAAACCAACTTCTATTAGCACTTTCAACATTTTCTAACTTTTTGAGTATTACACTTTGCCCTAATCTTTTTAATTGTTTTTCTTTTGAATCCCATTCAACATAATGACCATCAGTCCAATCTGCCGTATAAATTTCAGAGCATCCACCTTTAGTTAAATAATTAATATTTTGTAAATTATTATATGGAATCCATTCTACTATTCTATATAGATTAATTGTTTTCATTTGACATTGCCGTATTAAATTATCAATATCATTATTTCCAGATGTCCAATTTGAAAAATTTGATTTTAAATAATTTCGAACACAATGTTCACAAAATAACGTAGCTAAACATTCATCATAACAATTTTCACAAATTCTTTTTGTTCCTTCATTATAAAGAAGTTTATAAGAGTCAGAATCTTTATTTAACTGATTTATTGCAAATGATTTTTCATTTTTTGTAAGAGATTTGTCAGCAAGAACAATTTTTTTTACAAATTCAAATTGTTTGTCTATAGTATTTTGGATATTATAATCTATTAATGCATATGCTTTATTGATTACAATGTAAACTAATTCTTCTCGAATAGAAGTCATAACTGATAACAGATAACGTGAGATAAACTTTTTATTAAAAAAATTGAAATTTAATATAACAAATTCCGGTGTCGTGAAACAAGCAAATATGTCGTTGTTGATTAGACCGAGTTAATGCATAAATAAATGGTGATAAATAGAGTGATACTTGCAGATGCATTAACCAAAAACGATATAACAAAGAATGGTCAATCACGTTATTGAATTTCAAAATCACGTGAATGACGTGATCAAAGAACTAACTGTAAAAAAGGGAAGATTATGTAATTTGAAAATTTTACATACAGTATGTACGTTTATCGTTATACCACCAGTAATAACTTTTTTTTTAAGACTACTGAGAATTCTTTTATAACTTGATTTATATCAAATAAACAAATCCTCAAAATGATTTTGACAAATTACAATTTTTAGTATAGTAATAATAATTGACATTTTCACAATCCAATGTGTATAATTAAAGCATAAATTATTTATATCTGTCGTCAAATTTAAAAAATCAAAAATAGTAATTTATTTTCTTATGGTCATTTATTGTAAGATAATATAAAAATTACACTCTTATAAAAATGTTGATTGAATCGGTTCGAGTCAATCAATACTCATAGCGATCTTAGTAGTGATCGAAGCCTTTTGATTAATCAATTAGACATGATTGAGTCGAAACTCGATCAAAATCATCAAACATGTATTTTTAGACAATATTTATAGCTTCGATAATTTTAATGGATGATTTAATAATGAATTAAGTCAATTTTTTATGTTGTTTAAAATTGAGATCATTTATTATTTACTTTTATGATCTATTATAACGATAACATATTTAAATCTTAAAATTTTCTTTTTTTTTATATTCTTTATATTGTTCAATATTTGATTATATTTTTTTTATTCAAAATCTTCTATCAAATATCCTTTTCTTATTTATTATCGAATTAATAGCTCTGAACAATCTCGGGTTTTTTTTTAAAAAAAAAACGATAATAATATCCGACTTAATATTTCCTAAATCGTTATATGATTCAATTCCGGTTCACGAAAATGGATAAAATGTAAATCATCAAATTTAATTATAATTAATTAATATAAAATGCTTTATTTGTTAAAGAAAAAAAATCAAACACGATGAATAAAAATCGTGATTAAATTAAAAAAAAAATTCAAAAAGTAATTGGAGAATAATCTGATTCTATATACCCTTTTATCACCATAAAATAATGCTTAATTAAGACGTGACGGTTACGCCTCGATGATATATTCAAATGAACGAGCTTTATGCCGGAGAATATTATACTAGTCAAATGATATCAAATGGATAGTTTGCAAAAATGTAAATATTTTACTACGTAAAATGAAAATAAATTTTAACAAAAAAATTATTCCAAATTAATTCTCTATTTGCTATCTTCTATTATAAAATTTCTTGATTTATAATAGCCGACATTAAATAAATAGCAATTATAAAATACAAACTAACCTACATATATTTTGTTAAAGTTTCTACAACAGTCTCATCAATATTTTCAGAAATCTTTTGTTCAATAATCAATACGTATAGCGTCCAAGATTCTAAACTTGATATAATAAAACAGGAAGTAGTGAATTTATAAAACTACTCCTTCAAATTCCTTGATACTACTATCTTCAAATTCCTCAGTGCTATTTCCTTCAGATTCTTCAGTATTACTGGAAACTAAACTAGTTTTAAGATTTAACGTAAATAAATGTACCCTGAACGTTCAACATAACCTTAATGATTGTTTTTGGCGTCTGAACCACATACTCATCCACTTGATCTCAAAGACATACGTGGCAGAGATTATAAATCTCCTTCTATTACAAGTAAATATTAAAAAACTTAGAGGCTAAATCGTAATATAAAGAAACAAATTAAAATGGACCATCAAACCTTACGTTCTTGTATTCCTCTTTTAATAACCATTTTGCGAATCAAGAACGAAAATAACGAAAATGGACATTATTATGAATAGATAAGTTAATAAACGTCCTTTTACGCATCAATTACTCTTCCCTTCACGTTAACATACATTTCTCATCTCAATAACCTCGCTACAACAAAAATCAAGATCAAACTTTAGTATCAATACTGTATCGTTCATCATAAAATAAAATTGTAATTCCTACTCACATGTTTGGTTCATTTGGTGATGGTGACGTTTCGATAATGCTTCTTTTTTAAGTCAACCCCAATTTTATTTTTTCCCGATGTACTGTATGATCTTATTTTTAACGTTCATTATCAGCGATCAATGATGGTTATTGACTTATAAAGACTTCTTCATCGATTGGAATATTGGACTTAATAATTTTATTAGTCCAATAAAATTCAATTTTATTGGACTTATAAGCCTAGCAAACACAGTGAGTTATTATTCAAGCTCCTATTAGGCTTAAATTGTAAAACATGTCAATTTATATGGTAAATACGTATATAAAAAAAAATAAAGTAAAAAATAAATAAAAATAAATCAAATACCAATAAGAAGTGAATGAAATTTTATTATAATTATGAATATCCTCGTTGTCATGATCATGAAATTAGAAACTTCAACCTGCAATAAAAAAATTATTTTTTAAAAGTAAAAATAAAAATAAATAAATAAAATAAATTAAGCTGAGTTTGGTTATGCAGAAAAAATTTATTAAATAAACCTACTCATGTCACGAAATACTTGCAATGTCACCATTGTTCACACGGGAATCGTATACAATTTCAAAAAGTTTCGCAACATTTTCCGCCGATCTTTGAAATTAGCGATTTTTATAGCTATTTTAATGTTTCACAACCTAAATTAACGTGTTACATGCTCAATTTAAAAAACTACTTCACAATTTTAAACCAGTAAGTAAAAGAAAAAAATTAATATTTCTATTAATATTAAAAATTATTTTTTAACTTACACTCTTTTTTTTTTCCTTATAGAAATACCGTATGTATAAATAAAAGTGTAAGTTATGGTGTAGGATTTTTGATGAAGTTTTCTTTGTTCTTAATAAACTAATTTTATACTGTTTAAGATTTTTTTTTTATTAGTTAGAATTATCATTTTGCTAATTAATTTTTAAATAAATGTTCTTAAATAACAACTAAAACCTTTTAAATAAAATGAAAGGAATCAAGAATCCTTTATGAAACATCTTTTGGTAAGAAATATAATTTTTGAAAATTTTTATGGCGGATTTTATGCAAGTGAAATAATCGTTAATTTCTCAGCAAACTACATCCTAAACGAATTGTTTTTATATTCATTTGAAAGGCAAAAACTTACTCTAGCTTAACAAATAAAGATCATTCAAATTGAATCATTACACGTGGAGATATTAACGATCAAATTCAAAAATTGAAAATAAATGTATTGAACGAATTATTCAGCAACTAGTAATTCAATTCATGCGATTTTTGATTCATTGGGCTGATCGTGATTTTCTCTTTCAGATGAATACAAATTCATTCGTCTAGCTTACATACAGTATACGTTAAGTTACTTACAAGAATTTTATTCCGATTTCTAGATTTTTAATGATGTTACTTTAAAAAAAAATCAAAAATCATATAGCTAATTGAATTGGCTGTAACAACAATTCGAATTTTTTAATAAAGCTGATTTTTGGGTGTAAAAACTAATGGAGAAATGATGTCATTAGGGCAGAGCGTCAATTACAAACGTATTAGTTGTATGTATCACAAATTTTTCATCCATAATTGAATTTCGGAAATTTTTTCTAAATTTTCTAGATCGTCAAAATTTCGGATATTAATGTGGCCGAAATTGAAAATTTTGTAACAAGCAAACTGTGAATTTTTACCGGATTAATTAGAAAATTCGAATATGTACCGTATAACGGGGGCCACAGTACCCCCGGGTATGATACAGATTTCAGAGGTTTTGGCCTTATACCCCCCACCATTGCGTGAGTTTTTATTATTAGTAGATATGTATAAAACTTATATAATAATTGGGTATTTATCACGAGTAATACCTAGGTAATTATTAAATTATTTTAAATAACAAAATCGGTAGAAAATGGGAGTTCTTTTTTGTAGGGTACTGTGCATAGGGGGAGTACTGTGCCACTGTGGCCCGCAAAATACATGTAAATTGAAATCTTGTTTACTAAATTTAGAACACAGGTGGGAGATCTTTATTTATACACGTGTTTGTTTGTAAATAGAATTTATAACATATGACGTCATGTAAGTTTAAAAAATATATATATATATGATGCCTCATGGTTCACGTCTGAAAAAACTGAAATTAGAGTATGTAAACGATCGGCTGTAAACAACACGTTTATCATCATCGTGTTACAAAATCCAAAATCATAACCCCACTATACAAATTTCTAATTTAGAACCTAAGTAGGAGTTATCCAACAACTCAAACAACTCTCTCTCCCAAAAAATAATATATACATATAATATGTCTTTTATTAGGAATAAATTAGTTAGTGATGCAATTAATAATGCATATTTATTAATAGATTATGATAAAAATGAAGAAGGACAATATGAATCTATAAAACAAACCATTCTTAGTGACGAATCACTTTCACATGATGAAAAATTAGAAGCAATAAATATAATAAGTAAAAATTTTGATGGGTTTAAAATTCTTGATAATGAAGGAACAAAAAGAATTTGTGAAAATTGTCAAGAAGAATGTTTAGCTAAATTATACTGTGAGCATTGTGTCCGAAATTATTTGAAAACCAATTTTGAAAAATGGACATCTGGAAATAATGATGTTGATAATTTAATACAGCAATGTCAAATGGAAACAATTTCACCGGATAAGATAATAGAATGGATACCATATAATAAATTAGAAAATATTAAATATTTGACTAAAGGTGGATGTTCTGAGATTTACACAGCAGATTGGATTGATGGAAGATATGAAGAATGGGATTCAAAAGAAAAACAATTAAAAAGGTTTGGTGCACATGAAGTAGTATTAAAGAAGCTAGAAAATATAGAAAATACTAATAGGAATTGGCTTGACGAGGTAATTTTTAATTTAAATAAAAATTGTTTACGATCTTATTAACAAATCTCATATTAAAAATTCAGACTAGATCTCATTTTGCTATCAACAATAAATATGGATCAGTAGTGCAATGTTATGGTTTAACAAAAGATCAATCAAATCAATCAAATCAATCAAATCAACCAAATGAATCAAATGAAAATTATATTCTTGTAATGAATAGAATGAAAATGAATTTAAGGGAATATTTGCAACAAAATTGTAATAATCTAACATGGAAAAGAAGAATTAAAATTGCTGATGATATAATTTTTGCACTTTCCAATATTCACGAAGAGAAAGTAATTCATAGGGATCTGCATTCTGGAAATATATTATTTGATGAAAATAGTCAAATATTTTATATTAGTGATCTTGGGTTTTGTGGACCGGCCGATGTTCCATTAGATGGCACGTATGGAAATCTTCCATATATAGCACCAGAAGTTCTTTCTGGAAAAGAAACTACCTTTAAATCTGATATTTATAGTATCGGTATGCTTATGTGGGAAATCTCATCCGGACAACCACCTTTTATTAATTTCGATCATGATTTTGATCTTGCATTAAAAATAATAAATGGAATGAGACCAAAAATAGTACCAGGAACTCCTCCAAAATATAAAGAATTAATAGAACAATGTTGGGATGCTGATCCGTCAAAAAGACCCGATATTTCCCATCTTGACAATAAAATTTTCGAGATCAACAAATTGTATCATCAAAATAATAATGATGAACAGTTAGATGTTTTAAATATAAGTGATGTGAATATTAGTATCTCAGTGAATTCTTTAATTAGTAGTTTTAGTAAAATACACATTTTTGGAGAAATGCCAGAACCAAGGAATTTCACTGAAGGTAAATTATTTCATATTATATATTATTAATAATCCTTTTATAATTAATAATATTAAATTTATTATCTTTATTATCTTTGAGTCAACAGAAGAACGAGAAGGTAATTTAAATTAGTTTATTTAATAATAAAATAATTAAATACTAATTTTTTTTAAAGCTTACTATAGTAATCAACAAGATTTTGTTATTCCCGATAGTAGGTAAGTATTTGCTTAAAATTAAAGTTTTAAATTATATTATTTAAATAATTATTAATTTTTTTTAAAAAAAATTGAAGATATATATTTGGACGTCAAACCGAGAACAATGATTCAACTGGTAAGAATATTATGTTTATAATTTATTTGATTATATGATCTAATAATAATTTAATTAATTTAGATAAAAATGTAAAGGGTGAATCTAAAAGAATTTATTCGAATAATAATTTAGACAGTAATTAATTTTTAACAATAATAGAAATTATGCGTTGATGATTAGAAACTAAAAATTATTTTTTATTGCTTTTAAAACAATAGGTGAAAAATTTAAGAAAATAAAATTAAGTGAAGACGAAGGTAATAATATTTAATGTTTTATTAACGTTTAAGACTCTTTAATATCTTAATTTTTTAAAAAAAAATTAGAAACACAATTTGATAATAAAGGAGAATTCAATTATATAAGAGAACATTACATCACGAATACTACGAATGATGGTGAATAAAATTTATTTAATTGTCTTTTTTTTTAAAAAAAAAAAATTCTAATATTAATGATATTATGAATATAGATATGAATATAGATGACGGTGATGATACGTATAATAATCCGAATCTTCATTCAGAAGAACAGGATGAATTAGAAATTTTTGAAGGTAAATTGGTTTAAACATAATTATACTAATTCTACTGTTTTTAAATTAAAAGAAAAAATAAAATTAATTTTTTAATTTTTAATTTTTATTTTAGATTAACGATAATTTCAGAACTATACTCGTAATAGTTTCGACATTATAAGTAGAAATATTCGCATTATTTTTAGAATTAATAAACTACTATGACGGAATAGTAAATTTTTGCATAACCAATATTTCGTCCCACAGAAGAGCACGAGAGTGTAGTCTGGCTGGGAACACAGCATCCGTTGTTGTCGTAAACTTTCCGGTGAGAGAAGCTAACTTGCGAATTGGGATTATCTTCCTTGAGCTTACTTTGTATCAGATCTTTTATCTTGTGCTTCGGTAGTTCGATCATTGTTCTGAAATTTATTATCATTAGTCTATCATTTCTACTATTTCATCAATTGAGTGTGAGACTATTTATTATTAAGTAAGTTAATTTCTTATATTTCTTCTTACGTAATTTTATTAAAATTAACCAATAACCTAGGGACTTTTGACATATGTCGTATTAAGAGAGATAAAAAAATTTATCCATTACAAGAACTTATTTCAATTTAAATATTTTAATAGTTTATTAGTACAATACTTTTAAATCCATAATTTTATATGTATTCACATTATCAATAATTATTTTCTATTTTTAATATTTCCAATATAAAATATAAAGAAATTTAATTTTTTATAAATATAACGATTGCCACATTTGATAATTATTTAACGTAATCAACTACTTTACAGAAACGTAGCGATGGCTTAATGCGCAGTAGCTGCGTTATAAATACACAGTGACCACATTATGTAATCGTAAAGAAATTACATATATGCAGTTACTGCGCATTAAGCCATCGCTACGATCTTGAAGTTTCTGTAAAGTACATAAGAAGTTATATTATATCGATCGAGAATTCAATATCAGATATTTTGAAAGTAATATTCCACTTCCGTAAATATAATTAACATCTGACCGATCGATTTAAAATACGAACAATTCATTATAAAATATTTTATTTATTATAGTAACAATTATTAAAACTAATTAAAAATGCAAAATTTGTGCATAGTATTAAATGTTTGATTAAAGGCGGTTTTCTGAAATTTATACATCAGCTTGGATTGATGGGAAATATGCAAAACAGGATTCTAGAGAAAAATGGCTATTAAAAAAACGGTGGAGATCATCGAATAATACTTAAATGATTGAAAGTGCCTCTGAATGATGTCTAGTCTAACGTAACTTTTTATCTATATATGTATATATACAGTATATACAGTGCGTTATGTTTGGTTTGGTCCCAAAATACGAAGGTTTAAAAGATCCTATTTAAATTTTATGATTAAAAATTTTGAACAAGTTAGTGAAACTCAAGGATTACTATTCGATCCACAGGTTAGGAATTCAGTTAAACAAACTTTATTTTCAGGAAAAGCAAAAGGATGGGCTAATTTTTGATGTGGGCTGTATATTTATCAAACAAAAGTTTTGAACGAATTAAATTTGAACAAACATGAGAATGTTTAATAGTAATACGTGTTAGAAGTTCTTTTTGTGTAATTGTAATTATAAATGCTTTTGTTTTCGGCATGTGGCGAAGGATCATCAATTAATTTATTTATTTATTAGTAATTACTAAATGAATGTTTATTTTTTTAGAATTTTAGAATTTTAGAATTATAGAATTTTAGAATTAGGTGCCCTATAAAAAATGTTTGTACGATAAAATATTCGGAATGGGGTCAATTTTCCGGACACTCGCACGTTATTATACAATATTTGTTACAATTTAATACAAGATGCGGAGATTGAGAATTTTTAACCATGATGAATGTCCAATAAATGTCAAGTAAATGTTCGGAACGGAATCGATTTTCCGAACAAAAAACCGAACAGTGTTTGGGCAATATTTTTTATAGAGATGGTTAGATTTTGTGTAATAACCAGGAGAAAGGATAAATTTCCAGGTTAAATACGAAATTTCTGGTAAACCACAGAATTTTTCATGTTTTATCGCTAATAGAAAAATAAAGAGCCTTAAGATATTTAATTGCTATGTTAGCGATACAAATAACAAAAGAAATTAAATTAAAATATCTAACTGCTATGTTAATAATGCGAGGAATAAAAGAAATTATATTAAAACGCTTTGTTGTTATAAATTATTGCATTGCTTTTATTCAAATCATTTCATGTTCTTTTGGTCTTGGCGTAGTTTACCAATTTTTCAATAATTTGAAATTTGACCGAATGTTCAATGACCTTTGGCTTATTACGTGATATCTCTAATAATTTTTTAATTTTTTAGTCCCGATCACGTGCGTTAAGATCAGTTGTAAAACATGATGATATAAATTCTAAAAATGATTGGTTCATAACAAATCACGTGATTGATCATTGAAAGGTTATAAATACAATATTATAAGTTTTCATACCTTATTTAAACATATCAGTTTAACTTTATAAACGAAATTCTATATTTTTTGTCACGTTATTGACGTGAACACTACGTCGCTACGCTTTTAACATAATCAATGTTGATCAAAAATTAATATAAACATGTTTATATTAAATTGTTTCAGAATTCCGAATTAAACCGTATTGTTTGTTATACATTTATTTAATATTTAATAAACAATTTTAAAATTTCTTTTTTTTTCCCACAAAAATAATTTTAAAGACCCTTTCATTATTATATTATCGATTAATGACTGAAATTCGATATGAATTGGCTGTTGCTGCAATTAATAGAGCAATGACATTAATTGATAATAATATTCATGATAATCTTGATAAAAAAAGTGAATTTTTACAACAAACTATTCTTGCTGATGAATCTCTCACAGAAGATGAAAAATTAGTATCAATAGATTTTATTATTAAAAATTTTGATAAACATAAAATCCAAAATAACAAAGGAACGAAAAGAATTTGTGAAGATTGTCAAAATGAATGTTTAGCTACTTCATATTGTGAATGTTGTATTCGAAATTATTTAAAATCGAATTTTTCAAACTGGACATCAGGAAATGATGATATTGATAATTTAATACAAAATTGTCAATTGGAAACGCTTAAACCAAGTAGAATATTAGAATGGATTCCATATAATAAATTCCAAAATGTCAATTATTTAACTAAAGGTGGATGCTCCGAAATTTTTATAGCGGATTGGATTGAGGGGCGTTATAACGAATGGGATTTGAAAGAAAAGCAATTAAAAAGAGTCGGTAAACGTCAAGTAATACTTAAAGGATTAGAAAATATTGAAAAAGCTAATAGAAATTGGTTTGATGAGGTAGGTATAATAGAATATTATCGAAAATTTTTCGTTAAAAAAAAAATAATAATAATAATGAAATAAATATCATTATTTTTATAGGCCAAATCTCATATAACAATAAGTAATAAATGGGATAATGTAGTAGGATGTTTTGGTATAACACAAAATCCATCAAATGATAATTATATGCTTGTAGTACAACTAATGGATACCGATTTAGAAAAATATTTACAACAAAACAATCAAGAACTTACATGGAAAAAAAGAATTCAAATTGTTCAACATATAATTTATGCACTTTCCAGAATTCATGGAGAAAACGCAATTCATAGAGATTTACATTCTGGAAATATATTATTTTTGCATCTTAATCAAAGTTTTTATATTAGTGATCTTGGATTTTGTGGACCAGCTAATGTACCAATAAATGGTACATATGGAAAACTACCATATATAGCACCAGAAGCTATTGTGGGAAATAAAACTACTTTTGAATCTGACATTTACAGCATTGGCATACTTATGTGGGAAATCTCATCTGGTCAGTCACCTTTTGCTAATATCAGTCATGATATTAATCTTGCAATGAATATAGTAAATGGAATGAGGCCAAAAATAATTCCAGGAACCCCCTTAGAATACAAAATATTAATGGAACAATGTTGGGATGCTGATCCAGCAAAAAGGCCTGATATTAATAGTCTTTACGATAAAATAAGCGAAATAAAAAATTCGTATAACCAAGAACATCATGAAACATTTTCACACGCAAATGTTACAAATTTTAGTTATACTAAATCTATCAGCAAAGTACATATGTATGATAATTTACCTGAACCAAGAAATGCTACTGAAGGTAATGTAAGCAGTTAAATAAATGTTTGTAATGTATATATATTTAATTAACGTTATTGATTCTTTAATTAATAGAGGAACAGGAAGGTATAATAATCGAAAAATAAAAAATTTGATATATTCAATCATTTTTTGTAAATTNATATGATTTTATTATTCCGGACGATATTAGTAAGTAAAATATCTTTAACTTTACCACTGTGAATATAATGTAATAATTTTATTTTAAATATATAGGCGATGATTAACCCAACACTTTATCAAAAATTTGACTCCTGAAAAATCGTTTTATTTATAATCAATTACGATTATATTTTTAGATAAGTGATAATTAATCACAAATATTTAGTTTGTAATTCCCTACAGTATAAAAAATTTATTCTGTGTTTTTTATTCCATGTTATTTCTGTAAATATATCATATTTCACGGAGTTTTTACGGAAACTACGGATAAAATTTAAAAATAATTTATTTTCTTTTATTTTTTTCATACTTAATTTTATTTAAATATATAGGTGATGATTATTAACTTTCAAAAATTTGACTCCTGAAAAATCGTTTCAATTACGATTATATTTTTTTAGATAAGTGATAATTAATCACATATATTAGTTTTTAATTCTCTACAACATAAAAAATTTATTCCGTGTTTTTTCCGTAAATGTATCATGTTCACGGAGTTTTTACAGAAATTACGGATAAAATTTTTTAAAAAAATAATTTATTTTCTTTTATTTTTTTCATATATGTATTAAGCGTATTTCATTTTACTCTACTTCATTAATTTTTAGCGAGGGTTTTTCTGTAGTGCATGCTTTTAAGGATTAGTTCTTTGTGAATTTTGATTTTTTAATACTAAAGTAATAAAAGCATTTAGTTTAGAAGTTTATAGTAAAAAAAAATAAACCGCTACCTCAACCTCGTAGATGAACTTGCACTTTTTTCATAATTTAGAAAATACTTTCACTATAATACTAGTTAAGTCATGATAATTTAACGTTGTCTTTTTTTCTGTCTTGGTGGTGCATCGAACTCCCTGCGGCCGATGGTTGATCATGATCACCTTATAAAAATGGATAAAGCTTTTTTTTTTAAAAAAAAATAAAAATAAAAAAACAAATCTCATTGAATATTAGCAAGTGTTTGATAGTAATTATTCAACTATACATCATAAAAGTATAACATTTTTTGTAATCTATATCCCCATAGATAAAACGTTCTACGTTCTTGATTTCTGTAACTTCTAAAGTAATTAATGAATTGAAAAAAAAAATATTTAATGTTTTAAAAAACTACTAAAACAGATGAGAACGCTGACTTAAATCAAACACAAGAGGCTGGTGACGATAATAATAACTTATCTATTAAGGAAAATTGATGATTAAAGTGATTAGTAAGTTTATTTAAACAGGAACTTAAAAGTAGCACAGAGGATCAATCCACCAATACAAACAACCATTAGAAGTTGTATGATAATTAACACAATAGCCAAGGAGAAGTGAATTGTAGGCGTGATTGTAAGATTACCACCCAAGAATGGTACTATCAGACGTCCAGCAGAAAATGTTAAGTTAAAAATATTGGCCAAATTTCGTTCAAGTGGTTTAAAATTTACGATTATTAAGTACGCAAGTTCCAAGATGACAAGACATGTTAATTGTGCGATTCCACTGTGGTGACCTATTGCTACTACTAGCGAATTAAGAAGCTGGTATCCCATTAATACACGATCCTTTAATTAATTTGTATATAATATAGTACACCAAATAAAGTAATCCAGCAACTGTTGGTTTTTACTCCTGCTCGCGTCTATAATGTTCGTAGTAGTTACCTAGGAATTCTTCCTTTCGGCATCTACAAGATCTTGTCCGGGTCAGTTAATATAGAGAAAAAAAAGTAATAGGATAATACATCATGTTGACCTAACAATTGTATACAGATGCGCTAAACAAGTCTCAAATATGCAATAAAATTATATTACTCACTACATGCAAAATAGCATGAAATGATTACAACTACTACTCTCTGAAATTGTTATTTATGTTCATATATTGAATTTGCTCTTCAGTTAGTAATACTAAAAAATTGATTAAAAAAAAAATCGTTAGTATGGTTGGTACCAGGGAACCACACTACATAAAAAAAAAACCTCCAAGAAAAGTGAAGGTAGCAAAACCACTTCAGTGTTCAAGAAGACAGGATTCTTTGCCCTTAATTAGTGTTGATAGATCTGTCATCCTGCCCTAGATCTTGCACAATAAAGGATAAAGGGACTAAAAAGTCCCTACTGTCATGGTCTTGATACTATCGCAGGAGTACATAGGTTAATCCCTTCTTCAGGAAAACCAGTTCCACCTCTTCTCTTATCAGTCTTTTTTTGTCTGTAAGCTTGTTTATCGAAATAGCCTTCTTAGTGTGCTTACCTTAATAGACTTAACTCAGTGAAACTTATCATTTGACAAGGATATTTAGCACATATATATCCTTGTTGATAGGAATAATATCTTCTTCAACAAGTGCAAAAGGTTCAATATGGTAAGAAGGATATTATGATAAGGATATATTGGTAAGAAAGATAAGAAATATTATTATCATTAAAAAATTAATCCAAATTCTTCCAAGTTCGGAGAACACGTGACCAAAAATTCACAGCTCTGGGCCGCATTAGATAATTTGACCAGAATTATAGGTTGATAATTTTAATCGATTAACCGATTTTTGAGATACCTTAATCTCTTAGTCGATTAATTAATCGATTAACCTTAATCGATTCCAAACTCTACCTCCACTTTCAAAGAATCCGCATTATCGTATGCCAAAGCCTGCCACCACTAGTAAATGTCTCCAAACATTTACCTCTCAAACAAAGATAGCTTTTTTGTAGGCTTAAGTCTATGATTGACAATGGCAAGTGGATTTAAGTGTTTTACTTTTTTTTATTTCACTGCATTAGCTTAATCAATGTACATCATTTCTGATGAGGTTAAGATTGAAGTTAAAAAAATAAAGGTTCGTTATACTAGAAGTTTGACTCTTTTAAATGATTTTTCACTCTGTCACTCTTGTTTTTTAGTTATAAAGGCCTTTTCTCTTATGATGCAAATTCAAAACATTCAAATAATTTAAATAATATGATATGAAAAAAAAAAGAACCAGCAATTAATAATTAATAATGATTTAATGTGTCTCAGTAATATTATAATTCAAGTATGAATATTATTCTTACAAGTAATTAAATTTATTTTGGGCAACATTTTTTTTATATTTAATAATTTTTATGTAAATAGATAAGAAATTGGAATTTGAAATTGCAAAAAAAAAATTACAACAAAGAAGATGAGGATGGCTAATTTACAACAAAATTAAGGGATCTGACAGGTCTTGCATTAGAAATTATCAATAAATTGGAAATCCATCAGATGAGTCAAAGAAACAAATTGCGCATTTAGCTTTAAAAAGAAATGTCACATTTATTAACATAAAACAAAGCTTAACAAATGAAAGCACAAAGATTAATAAGTTCGAACATCCAGTTTAACATGGTGAGTGTTCACAATATGCAACTAACCTCATAGTATTATGTTTAATAAATCTAAAAAGGGCAAGATTCATGATTAAAGGGAATATCTGTATGAAGCTTTTTTTTAGTAGGTAATATTAACAACAATCTCAATGAACTCCATAAATCAGAGAAAACATGTATTTGTATTTCAATTATTTTTAGCGAGTGTGTTTATTAAAAACATTGATGAATTGTTTATTAAAAGCATCAATAAATGGTTATAAATACTGTCATAAAATTTATGACAAAGCGTTTTAACTATATAATTAGTGATTTGAAGTATTGTGAAATTGGGTGTAACATTAATTAAAACACTAAAAGATTTGTTGGTTGCCGATTGTACTAAAATAGAAAAGCTTGATTCGAAATGTATTTATATAATCAGAAAATTAATACCAAAGATGGGGGATCAGCATCTTAAAATGGAAATCACTCAAAAACTAATCTTATGTTAACGTTAAGATCCTGTTTGGACTACGGATTTAGGGGGGATACCGGTTTGATGGTTTCCAGCAAGGTGGACACTCAAAGAAAGAAAATAACGTGAGAAGTTCCAAGCTATGATTCGAAAAATTCCAGAATCGATGATGATAGCAGCCTTATGGAAAGACCATTGCCCACATTCATTCCTTTCTGCGATTAAGGGTTTGAAAAGCTTTAAAATTATACAGACTGCAAGGGGG